ATAATAATCGTTTGAGCTTTCCTATAAGCAAGGGAGTCAAAGTTTTAGCCGGCCAGCATTATTTATGCCACCAAACATGCTCAAGTGCCTCTCCTAGATCTATATGCAGCCCAAATACACAGTTCAACGGTCACAAGAGACGCACTTTCTGATCATTTGCATCCCCAACTGTGAAGACGAATGGCCATGTGCTGGTGTTTCTCTGTGAGACATAAAAAGCTACGAAATGTTTGCCTGGGATGCCTACCGGGGAGGTAGGTAGTAAGCCATCCTGTAATGAACAGACATGATGCTGCAAAGCACATAGACCTAGATGGATTTATATGCTATGTTCTTGGTTCCCATCTATTAAAAATTTCGGCATATTCACCTCAAGAGCTTTGAAAGCCAAGAGGGTGACAGCAGGGGCTGAGTGGAATGTGGGCGGGGCAGTTAGTTGTGTATTGGTTTATTTAAGGAGAACATTTTTTGTTTTTTAAAGGGGAAAGTTATCTTCAAGTGGGTGAGCAAGAAGCTTGGAAAAGCGTTTTCAAAAAGCCATAGATATAATTTGGGGCTCCATGTTTCCTAGCGCCCCCACAATGTAACAGAAAAGCAACATCTTTATAATTGGCACTTGACATGCTGTTTGCATTGGGCTGTGGTACACCAAGCACAGATTTCCTGTTGATGGAAACATTTATCATTGTGACTGCCCCAGAGTGGCAGGTGGTGTTATCAATTACCTCTTCTTACCAATAATAATATTAGTATGGTAATATCTTTGCTCAAGTGAGAACCAATTAGCGGTCACTTGTCACAGCATTAAAGACACAAAATCATGCTGGATTTAATGGCAAGGACCCAAAACAAAAGTTGGGGGTGGAGGAGGAACCAGAGAGAAGGGAGTGAAAGCCAGTGGCAAGAACTTTGATTTGAGGGGGAAAGCCTGAAAGGAGACAGAAAATAGAGCTGTAATACTTGAATACTTTTTCTGTATTAAATGGCTAGGTAAATAAGCACATGATAAAGTACCAAATGCACCTCAGGTAAAAGTGTGCTTTGTGGATGGAGAGCCAGGTAGCTTCACTAAGCTGAGGCATGAGAACAGAACCCACTCTTCAACTCCCCTTGTCAAATCCATCCTGCAGATAGGCTTTCTGTTTTATCTGAATAAATGATACAAATTAAATCAAACATCTAATTATATGTTCCGCTAATGTAATCTACAGTATTAATTTGTAAATAATATTATTAAGCAGACAAAATAATAACATGTCGCCTCATAAGATGAAAACAACATTGCAAGAGGAAGACAATTAACAAATTAGATTTAATTACAGAGAAGAAAAGCAACTTTTGTTTTTGCAATAGTATTTAGGTATTACAAATTTTAATAGGCAGTGGTCATGTGACAGTGAGTGTATGTGTCTCACATGCAGGAGCCGGTGTCCGCACCTCGCGCAAGCATTTCCATTTCTGTGGTTGCCCTTAATCTAGGCACGACCGGAGGATAATCCTGTCCCTCATCTGTGAAAATATGCTGTTGACATGCTGTCACCTCGCAATAAATCTATGGTTGTGACTCAAGCTTCAGATGCATATGCTTTCATTAAAACTTGCTGCAGTGAATAAAAACAATTAAAGAAAAGTTTCAGATCTCAGTGGAGGGAGGCAAGGAAAGCAGAAGAGGTGAGTGAGGAGGTAATGCGCCTTTTGCTTTAGACCTTTTAAAAAAATGTATTGATCTTGTTTACCCCCAGTCGATTTTTAGAAGGATGCGCCACAGATGCACTGATCTGCACCATTCTAGCGCTGGCCGGAATTCGCAAGGGTTCCCGTTTCATATCCTTCCTGACCCCTTCCTCCACGTCTGCTCGATTTTCTCAACGAAAACCCAGCGCAGCAGGCGCGGAGGGCGGTGTTGGGCCGGCGACCTCACCCGGCCCACTGCACTCTGCACAGCCGGCGCGACCCGAGCCGACGGCGGGCAGGTCCGGCTGGGGCAGCTCCGAGTCCTGCGTCCGCGCCGGTCCACTGTGTCCAACACCGCGCCAGGCTCAGCCTGCTGCACCTTCCCCCGTACAAAGCTCAGCACGACTGGCGCGACACCTCTGCAGTCTGCGGGCTTGCTTCTTACAGATAAAAGGCCGGGGTCTCAGATCTGCCTCCACTGGAGGCCCCTCGAAGACCCTCTCAAAGACCACACCTCGTAGAAAATGCAAAGCCAAGTGGACAAAATTAAACAGTTGCGTTTGCAAGTACCAGGAAGACTTGGGGAAATCGTGCCAGCCTGTGGGAAAGCAGTTGGCGGCGGGGGGGGGGGGGGGGGGTGTCGGACGAATGGCCTAAAGAACAAAAAAGGTGGAGGTCGGCGCGCGCCAAGTGGCCCAAAGAGGAGGAGTCGGTGCCCCAGAGGCCAGGAGGCTGCGGGGGAGCCGGCTCGGGCTTCCCTGAAAGGGCTTCGGGCGCCGCGACAGCCTACATCGGCTGCTGCTGCTTAAGGTGTGGGTTTTTTGTAAAAAGGAGGAAAAAAAAGAGAAAGTGAACCAGGTCCCCAAAAAGCAGTGCACCTTTACCCTTGGGTCTGCCCCACCGATGACTGTGTTCGAGTTCTTTCTCTTGTGTCACCGAAATGTACCTTCAGCGGCAGCTCTGCAACTTCCCCAACTCTGGCCGGTCCTGCAAATTCTGCAAGAAACTTCATTCGCTACAGCCGCCCCTCCGCACCCCCGCGTCCCCTTCCCGTCCCCCTGCCCCCGTTTCCCTTCGCCCCTTCCCCCGGTAAGTCCCTGCCCCGCTCGCCCCGAAGCCCCGAAGCCCCGGCTGCAGGCTGCAAACTTTCCGGTGCCAAGCGCCTCGGTGCCGGAGCCGAGAGCGTCCCCCAATGCTCGCCGCGTTCGCGAAAGTTCACAGGGTAGGACAACCTCCCAGCTCAACCCGAAAAGCGTGGTGTAGGGCCAGTCAACTCTAGACTTCAAACATCTTTTATTGGTCTTTTTTTTTTTCTTTTCAAAAGCAAGATCGCCTAAATGAATACGCCCGCCACTCAAAAGCGAAACAGAACCAACCTTCGGGATTTTTTTTTTTTAGCGGGGGTGGGGGATACATGTGGCGACGCGGGGGGGGGGGTGTCTTTGGAGACGACGCCGACCTGTGCGCGTCCTTCCTCTCCCCATCACCCTGCGCTTTCCTGCAGCCCAAGCTGTTGCTTCGTGAAACTTACACAATTACAGGCGGGTGAGAGAACCAGGCTGAAAGCGAGAAGATTCTAGAAGGAAGAGAAGCCCGCGGAGAGGCGGGCGAGAAGCCTGGGATTGGGGTCCGTCCCGGGGGGGCCCCCAGCCAGGCAGAGCCCCCGCCCCAGCCACGCGAGCAGCTCGCAGCCCCCCGTGCGTTCGGGGCTGACGAGTCACCTCCCGCTTCCCCAGCGCAGACGCCGGGAAGGCCCATCTGTGCCAAAGCTTCGTACCACACAGGGCCCCTTGTGAGCAACAAAAATAAGAAATTTAGGAAATGAAAAAAGGCACACTAGGGCCGCGGGCGGGCCTGGGGCACATCTCGGGGGCCGAGGACACGCGCGACAGTGAGCACGCGGGAGTGGGCGAGTACGCGTGTGCGCGGGGCGGCGGGGTGCGCGCGCGGGCGGGGCGGGGCGCGAGCGAGCGAGGGCGAGGGCGAGGGGCGCCGGGGTGTGCGGGAGCGCGCTGCGCCGGCCGCCCGAGGGTGCTGGGCCCGGCCGCACGCGCGCGACCCCCTCCCCCGCGCCCCCCCCCCCGTCACCCGGAATGTCCTAGGACGCAGCGGGCCGCGCGCGCGACTTTCGTGGACTTGGAACTTTGAGTCGCGTGGCCTCGGGACACCTTGCGCCCCCTGCCCACTCCGCAGGCGCCCCGGCCGGAACCCGTCGGGAAGGGGAGCTAGTGCTGGGGGACGCCGGAGCCCCCGCCGTCCCCTCCCTCCCGCTGGATTTAAGGAGCCGCCGGCGGCGGGGAGGCCCGGCGGGCGGGGCGGGCGCTCCGAGTCGGAGAGGCCCGGGGGGGGGCGGGGAGACGGGGGACGGAGGGGAGGGGGCACGGGGAGCGGAGGGGAGGGAGGGGAGCAGAGGGGAGCGGAGGGGAGCGGAGGGGAGCGGAGGGGAGGGAGGGGAGGGAGGGGAGGGGAGGAGCCGCGCGGCCCGCGCCGCTTCCGAACCGGAAAGTTGGTCTTGCCGAAGTCCCGCCACCCCGGCGTGCGCACTCCGCTGCGCTGCGGCCGCGAGCCCCGGAGCCGCCCGGCCGCCGGCGGAGCCCGCGGAGGGGACGCGAGCTCGGAGAGGACGGCCGGTCCGCGGGCAGGGGCGCCTGAGCCCGAGCGCGCCCCGCCGCCGAGGAGCCGAGCCAGCCGGCCGCTCGGTGCTGCGCGCCCGGAGCGCAGGCGGCGCGGCGCCCGAGCGGGCCGGCGAGACAAAGGCGCCGGGCCGGAGCCCTGCCCGCGGCCGCTCGCTCCGGGAGGGGCGGCCGAGCGGCGGGGGGGCGCGGGGCGCGGGGCGCGGGCGGCGGCGCAGACTCTATAAAGGGGCGAGCCCGGCGCGCCGGCGGACACGGCGCCGCGCGGACGCCGCCGAAGTTTGCCGCCCGCGCCCCGCGCCCCGCGCCCCGCGCCCGCGCCCGCCCCCCGCGCCCCGCGCCCGCCGCCCCGGCCCGGGGGAGCGCCCGCGCCGAGCCGCCGGGGCCGCGATGTGAGCGCCGCCGCGCCGGGCCCCGCAGGCGCCCCTCGCCCCGCCGGCCGCTAATTGCGAGCGCGGCCTCATTTGCATGGGCCGCCGAGCCCGCTGGAGCCCGGCCAATCGGCGCGGCCCGGCGCTCGGGGCCATGCATTATTCACCAGCCTAATTGCTCGGCCCCATGCGCGGCCCGCGCAGCCGCCGCCGCCCGCGCCCCGCGCCCCGCGCCCCGCGCCGTCCCCGCCGGCCGCCCCGCTGACGCCGACGCCGACGCCGATGCCGACGCCCCGCTCGGGGCCCGCGCGCCGCTAGCAGCATGTCCCGGCGCAAGCAGGCCAAGCCCCAGCACCTCAAGTCGGACGAGGAGCTGCCGCCGCCGGACGGGGCTCCCGAGCACGGTGAGGGGCCGCGGGGCCGGGGCGGCGCGGGGCGGCGCGGGCTGGGGGGCCGGGGGCCCGGGTCCGGGTCGGGGTCCGGGTCCGGGTCGGGGTCGGGGTCGGGGCGCGCTGCCCGGCGCGGCAGGCCCTGCGCGGGGACCCGGTCCTCCCCGGAGCGCGCGGCGCGGAGTTGCGGGCAAGTAAACTTGGTTCGGCCGCTCGGAGTTGGGGCGCAGCGCGCGGACGCGCCGGGGCTCGGGCGAGTGGGGCCCGGCCGCTCGGGAGGGGGCTGTGCTGGGGGCCGCGCCGCCCCCCGGGGGCTCCCGCGCGCGGACGCCGGGCCGGCGGGGCGACGGAGACGTGCCGGGGCTCCCGAGCGCCGGACGCGGGCCGGGGAGGCCGCGGCCGGGGCAGCTTTGTTCGGAGCCGGGCCCCGGGGCCGCTGCCCTGCCCTCCGGCCTGCCCCTCTCCCGGGCCGGCGGTCGGCGGTCGGCGGTCGCCCGGCCCTCCTCGTGGCCGCCTGGGGAATTGAGCCGGCGGGACCCGGCGCGCGGTGGGGGCGGTCCTTGAACGCGGCGGACCCGGCCCGCTGGCGGCGGCTCCAGGTGCCCCCGGGCTGGTCCGGATCCCGCGGAGGCGCCGGGCCGGCGTGCAGCCTGCGGGGCGCGGGAGCGGGGCGCGGCTGCCGCAGGTCTCGGGGCGCGCAGGGGCGGCCACGGCGCCGAGCTCCCACCGCGGCTCCCGGCCTCCTGCACAAAACCCGCTGCCCAACTTTTGTGATGCACCCGTTGTAAGTTCGGAGGCAGAGGTGCATCCTTTTACCCGGAGGCTCAGACGGTACAAACAAAACGAAACAAAACAAAAACCAAAAACCAAAAACAAAAGGAGTTTAGGGGTGTATCCCGGGGTGCTGTAAAGTTTGGCGAAGCAGGTACGTGTCCGCGCCGGAACGGGCAAAGGGGGAAAATGCTGCTAACGCGGCGGGAATTAATGAATTAAATAAAATTAGTGAACTCGTTAGGGTCTTTTTGTCGCCGTGGAGGTAGGGAGCCTTATCTGTAGCCTAGTCACCCAAGATTAGAACAGCAGATATGCTAAAAAGAAACGCTTGCATATGGTGGGTAGATTAAGGACAAAGAATCTTTTTGTCATGGAAATGGATTTTTTTTTGTTTTGTTTACTTCATCACATAGAATTTCTCACACTTGGTTTGTTTTGTATTGCCCTCAATGACTACATGATCAAATGAATGGATTTATTTCTGCCGAATGAGAAAGACAGTCTTTCCTTCAAAAGAACTACATTGCATCCCAGTGAGGAATTTTAAAGCTTTATTATTGTGGCTCCTGAATAGCTCAAAATCGGCTTTCACAGCCGCCCCAAAATGCAACAATGTAAATACTTCTCAGCTTTGTAGGGCCGTTATCAAAATGTGCAATGTCTCCTTTTATTAAAGCATATTTTAATTAATAGAGTAAAACCTATTTAACAATTTTGTATTGTATTTAACAATTAACAAGCTGAGGCCTTGCTATTCATTTTTAATTTCACGTCAGAAATGTGAGCTTGGTGAGCCTAATAGTGTAAACATGTTGAGGGATATGTAGCCTATATTTGAAAACCTAAGATGGAGTGAATTATTTACAAGTTGTCTTTTGAATTCCTCTTGTTACTGAATTTATTTCGAGGTGAGGCATATTCAGAGTTTTTACCCATCATAGGATTAAAGTTTGTCAGGCTTGGGTTTTTCACAGTCGTTGGGAATTGTAATCAAGATATTGCCACAGTTCCTGATCGTATTTTGCAACAGGCCAGAAATAGCCTGTCTGGGGCTGAGCTTTAGTCAAATAGTATGTTTCCTGGATTGTTTTGAAGGTACTTTAGGCAAACTATTTAAAAAAAAAAATAGTTCTCTCTGATTTAATTATTCTGAAGCTGATTGTTCATGGAGTATAAAAGATACTCTGTTCTCTGCTCACTCAAGGAATGCTCACGGATGTGTTACTCTGTCGTGCTGATCGTCGTTAGTAAGATAACTAAAAAAAAAAAAATTTTTTTAAGAGAAATAGTTGTGGAAACTCCCTTACTCTGACACGAATCAGATATTCTCAAAATTTTAATTTTGCTAAGTGCAGGGGAAGAAGCAGACGGTGCATGAAGTTATAAGAGAGCTAAGTTAGTTTACTGTGTTTTAGAGACAAAGTAAATAATTCTTTTGTATCACTTTGGGCGTGACATATTAATTAAAGCAGTAGATGCATGAAGTAAAATTGAAGGCTATTGATAATGCCATGGAAAACAAACACATGCACCGTTTTTAGTACGGTGTGGGGGACGGCAGAGATGCACAATCAACGTCAGTTTACAGTTAAAAGAGATTAGTTCTTAAGACATATATATGACTGTTTCTCAGGCTTTGGTTTTTAGGCAAGCGATAAAATGGTAGCTATCCCAAAAGAGCTTCAGTGTTATCCAGACCTTATCGTGGCAGAAATGAAATACGATGTCATATCTTAAATGAGAAAAAGTAATATTGGTTTATGTTAAGTTCTGAAGTTACCCTGTTGTAGAATTTTATTTGAAGGATGCCTGAGACTGACTCTCTCTGTAAGAACTACCATTTAAAATTGCAAATTGTTTCATTCTTGTTCCTGAAAATCTAGAAAATAAATGTGAGGCAGCTTTAGGATTCAGTTAAACGTGTGCCACCGGTGATGAAATCTTTTGAGCCAGCTGAATATTTTTGCTCTAAGAAAAATTAATTAAAACTTCTGACAGAACAGCACTTTTGAGAACTTTAAAAAGTGTGGTATTGCTCTCCTTTGTTGTATGAAGTGCAGCTTAATAAAGACGTGTTTTATTGTCGTTAGAAAATACGTATTTAAGGAAGAACAAAAGGATATTACAATTTAAAACAATTTGCCATCCTGTATTTTGTTTGTGAGCACTAATTGTTTCAAAGTGTGTTTTTATTTTCTGCCAACTTACAGTCATGTGGCTATCTTAAAAATCCTTTTAAATGTGATGAGCCTGTGATTTAAGAATTTACCAGTGGTATTCACAGACTGTGTTTAAATTAAGGGAAAGAAGGCCACCAGCCCTCGGTGAAGAGATCTTTTTTCTTTTATCTGTATATGCATGGTTTGCCTTGAGTACTCCCCCCCCCCCCCACCCCAGCCCACACTACACACATTTACAATTCAGCATTCCAAAAGCAAACAATACAGAAGCCACTTTCTACCATTTGTAGGCAGATTGTTTTCTCTGAAACATGAAAGGTGAAAAGTATCCAAGGGGGGCAGGGGAGGAAAAGAAGAATTTGCAAATATTTATTTTTAAAATAACATTTTAAAAACTTCACCTCTTTAAAAATCCATAAATTGGTGGTCAACAAAAGCATGCCAATTCCCACCTTACAGAGAAAGAACTGATTATGTAGCAGCAGTCAAGGGGTTTTTATGTACATGTTGAACTTCGACAACACATGCATAATCCAATATTTTTAGATCTGTTCAGAGCCGGAAAAAGAAGAAGGCATGTACCAACAGCAGGAATTACTTAGCAAGCTGATTATTTTTTGTATACAAGATGATGGCAAAAGCAGGCAAAAGTGGGTCAGATTTCATTTTCAACTGCAATCTCTAAGAGGCTTTACCATTCATCTCAAGGTAGCTCTGAGAACACTGGGTGGTGGTGGTGGTGGGGGGAATTCAGCAGAGATACAGCCAAGGAGGTGTTGTGTGTTCTGAACGTCTATTGGAATTTAGCAGTCTTCAGTGTGAGAATTGACACAGAGTGTTTTGGTGTTTTGTTTGGTTTTGTTTTTAAGTAAAATAAGTCTTCACTGCTAATGATGTTCTACACTGTTTTTTAACGTAGCAAAATAGTTTCAAGGAGGATACTCTCTGCATGATATTTGTAACAGGAAGGGCTCTTTTTTTGTTTTGTTTTGTTAGTTTTTCTTTTCCTACATGATTTCTTGACTAGTTGCCAGAGTAAGACCAGAATATCTGATTTAGTTCCATAAAGATGAGATCTTCTTCTGTTACTCATGGGACAGATTTGTGATGACAGCATATGCTAACTTGCTACACATTTCATATCAAATCAGACATAAGTAAAATCTATGTAAAAATGGAGTGTTTTAATATTACTCTCAATAAACTCCTGCATGTGAAAAAAAACCCTGACCTTAGATTTTTCTCTTGCAATTTGAACACTTTTAGGATTTAGGATACAGTTCCCTGTCAGCGTGATTTCCAAGCCAACAAACAGGTCAAGTCACGTTACAGAAAGTGTAAAATATTAATTGAAATAATGAAATTAAGTAATGGGCTCCATTTATGTGAGAGATTAAGATTGATTTGTTTGTTAATTAAAGGGGACCCTCTCGCGGCAGCAGGAACTTACACCAGAGACCTGCCGGCACCAGTGTGGTGTCTAAACCTTGTCCTCCGTGGGCCTGTCTTCCCCAGGCACCCCTGCTGGGGTCAGGCTGACCCTGCAGCCCCTGCCCCCCTGCCCCCCTTCCCCCTTGCCTCCCTGCGTGGCCGGAAAGCCGCTGCCAGCGGCACAGCATCAAGCCCGGCTGAGGTCCGAGGAAGGTAGGGCTGCAAGAGTGGGGGCGCTTCCGCTGGCTCTCCCAGAAGGTGGGTAGTTAGAGGCGCCGTGACAGGCCTTGCTGATTTAACCTTTGCCTGCTTTGCCCTGCCAGGGGTGGCCACTAGATGTCAAGCTCATAATACAATTAGTGCATCTGTGCTGTTGACCTTGGCAACAGGACTCAACACTGTTCTATTAAGTGTTAACACTGAATCCGAGTGTTAACTAGAGACCCGGGAGCCTGCTCCGTGCTGCAGGGCTTATCAAATGCCCATCTCATTCAGCACAAGTGTTTATAGTTCTTAAAGAAGAAGAGAGAACGGTTTTCTTTTGTGTGGCCATTACATCTTGAACTGTTTAATTAACCCTGCAGGTGCCATGGCACTTGGTGTGCAGGCGGCCTTCCTGGTCCTCCTCTC